CCCCTCTGCAGAGCCTCCCGACCCTCAGAGATTGCTGCACAGCTGCTGAAGAACCTGAAGCAGAACACTGTCTGCAAGACCACGTCAAACCTGTGTCTCCTGGGATCAGGACAGGGCTCCCAGACACAGTGGCCACCTGAACCATGTCTTGGTCTCACTGCTGAGGGTGCCTACACACTGTAGCCTTCACTTTTCCTACAAACATAGTGGTTGCCTTGAGTTCACAAACTGCTATTGTTTTAATTATTATTTTAATCTCAGACATTCCCAAGTTATTTGCCTGGCCTCACAGAGCTCATTATCAGGTCTGTGACCTGCAAGACTCCCGGGTACCTCCCTTAGATGACTTTAGCAAGCTGAATCATTGCACAGTAGCTCACTTTCATGCCATCAGACAAACTTAGCAAAGCACACATCTCTTGAGCTTCCTTGCCTAGGCTTCTAATCCAGATACAAAGTGGCAGGACCTGCTGGTGACCAAGAAAAGTGAGTAGTCCTGTGGCCATAGTAGTGCTGTGTGCACACCAGTGTCCACAGCATAACTCATAGAGCACCTTGAAATGTGTGTAGACTGCTGAAAGGGAGATGTTTGTGCCTATTTCCATAAAACATTCCAATTTGAGTCCTCCTCCTGTCCCCTTCTAAGGTCCAGGGTGGACTTTTCCTCACCCTGTCCTCTCTCAAGCCTCTACAAACGTCCCCAGAAAAAGCCGGTGAGGCAGGGAATGGGAAGCTGGAGCTATCAGCTTTGGGCAGGACGCTGGTGATCAGTGCCCACCAGCCCCATGGATACCTGTGTGGAGAGTACTGTCAGAGATGTTCTGCTTTGGGTTCCCTTGCCTTGAACATTTGTTAGCTAAAGGTAACCAAAATCACTCTTGCTAATTTTCTTGCCTGTTTTCTCAAAGTTGGTCGTTAATCAGAAGGGATGTGTTGCTGATCCCAGGAGAGCTCCCTTGTCACCAGTGTGGTTTGTACTGCTGGTTGTGTGGCCGTGCAGACACTGTCGGATTTAGATACCTGGGAAGGCAGCAGCTTGAGCAGCTCTGTTCTCAGGAACATGGGAAGCAACTAGAGGCTGGAGGTGGTCTGCAGCGTGTAGCTGGTGCACTCCAGATGTCAGCACAGCAGTATGGGGATAGGCAGAAGGTCAACAGCACACACTGACAAAAAATGCCAAGGCTGAGAAACAACAGAAGCAGACTGGAACGAACTCTGAATCGTTGTCCAGGAGTTTGGTAACAAAATCTAGCTGGGAGAACTGCAGAGACCAGCTCCAAAGAATGACAGGGAAGGAAAGGAAGCAGTGGGCAATTGCCCTGACAACACTATCTTCGCCTGCAAGCCTAAGCAATTATTTCATGCTTCCATCCCACTGTATTCTCCTTTTGTTTCTGTTTAGCTAAATTTCTGAAAGAGCCACAAAATTAATTTTGAGTGTAAATTTCACCTAATGGGTGAGACAAATGATTCTGTCAGAGCACGTTTAATTTGTTTTCCATAGGTTTACACCAACCGAGGTCTCAAACTCAAAAGCTGACACATTTATTTACTCTCCTGAATTGACAGATCCAAATTAGTCCTTTTAATTGACTTGACAAAGAGGCTCCCCATATTTGTAAATCTGTTTCCTAAATACATGTCTATAGTTTAGCTTCATATTCTCTAAGGCATAAGCACAATTAGAATAAGGCATACAAAGGGCTTCCAGCAACAACCTCTGTCCTGTTGCACCTGAGTCATCACCATGCCCGTCAGCTTGTAAGGCATTTTTCTGTATTATCAGAAAAAGCAAATTCGAGCTAAGAGTAAAGTCTCTGAACATATGTTGACATCCTAACCAATGAGAATTTACTTTAACTTCTTTTTGCACAGAGTAGAGCAGAACGTTTTCATTTACTGCAGATAATTTGATTTTTATACTAAGTGTGTGCATTCAGCCTGCTCCAAAACATTTGTATGGCATATACAATCTTGTATTTAACTTTCATCTTTATTCTCATTAAAGTAAACTTAATTCCACCTTTCATCAGAAAAATCTGAGCTCATCAATGCAGAAGCCATTTCTGCAATGATTCACTTTGGCCTTCACTACACGAACAAACTGTGTCTTGGTCTATCTGTATTAGCACAAAGACAAGGAATATTTTCTAAGTGTTCCAGCACTGCTATTTCAACTGGCTTCATACCAATGGAAAACCCACCATGGAGTGGAGGACAACCCCCCCCAAATGGAAGTTTGGCTTTGATATGCTGTCTGAGCAACTGGATACTTCCATATACACAAAAAAAGCCAGGCAAAGTACAACAGAAATGGAGGAACTGAGGTGTGGGAAAGCTATCGACCATTCTGCTTACAGGCAAGAGGGAGAAGAACAGAGAATCAGCAACTTTCTCCAACATGTGAGTCCTGCTCTGGTTCTCCATAACATTCCTCCAGCTCCCCAGCAGCACACTAGAGATGAGGAGGAGCCTAATCCCACCCACTATAATGGTACTGAATACCGACTAGTGCTCATTTTCAAGGAAGCCAGGGTACATTTCCTCAGCTATAATTCATTCTCCTTCCCACAGTTCAAAGAAAGTTTTTATTAAGTAGCATTTTCAGTTGTGACAAACATGAATCCAGAAGAAAGGCCTGCACTCGCATTCAGCTTTTTAAAACACAAACCAGGGACTGGTGAGTGCCAGTATCATACACGAAATCGAGTCACTCAAACTCTCTTGTGAACAGAGTTGAGACTGGGAGGGTTCACAGAATGCTGAGAATGGGAACAGGATCAAAAGCAATGTTCAAGGCATACACAAACTGAAGACACAGGTGCTTTGAAGCCTATACTTCTGTTTTCCTCCTTTTGTAAATCTATACTACAATATGGAGATAAAAGCCACAGTGTGTGTGTGGAAGGTCCTCATCCAGTACATTTTAAGTCGCAGTTTTCTTCTTGTTAAAAAAAATTATAATTTAATACCTCTTTCAGGATTCTCAGATTCGTGGTGCTGTTCACGTTGCACTTGAATAGCATCATCCCTTTTAAAAAAAAAATTAAAAAGCAGCTCTGAACTTTGCTTCTGAGATGGAAGCACCGTCTCTGAACCAACGACGATTCCCATCACTCTTGCTTTGCATCTTTCAAGGCCTGAAGTCTTTCTAAAAGGGGTGGATGGGAGTAATGCCACATTGAAAAGATCCAGTCAGAAACAGGGAATCCTAAATTATCTTTGTTCAGCTTGATCAAAGCTGTATATAGGTCTTTAGCCTTCCCAAGTTCCTTGGCAAATGCATCTGCTTGAAATTCAAATCGTCGGCTTAATACAGTCAAACAAAATGAGAGAACCTGTGGAGAGAAATGTATTAAAAATATTTTTAGAATTCAGCTATCTGTGAATTCCTTACAGTACCAGGAAATACCACAGTATCTGCCCTCCCCCACCACCAGGGCCACACCTGAAACTGAGAGTCTTGCATAACATGGAGCAAAGCCTCCTTATTAAAGCAAGATACCAAACAGCCTCTAGAAACTTCAAACTTCCCCCCTCCCCAGTCAAACAAAAATAATGATTTAAATAGGACGATACTTCAGCATCTGTGCTGTGAAGACCATTTACCTCATTGTAAGGTGAAAAAATAAACTGGAAAATAATCATCAAGCCTATCAGGGTAGGCTGGGTCTCATAGAAACCAAATGCAGCAAAGAGTTCTTTTCGACCGATTAGCACAGCAAACAAGAAGAAGCAGAGGAAGGAATTCATCTAGAGAGAGGAAACAACATTTTTTATTAAGATGAGTATTTCATCTAAAACATGGCCTGTTTATATTACAGACTTGCATAGAAATGCCACTGATTAGAAACAAACAAACAAACAGATTACTTTAGAAGTAGAATCACAGAATCATTAAGGCTAGAAAAGATCTCCAAGATCATCAAATCCAGCCATCAACCTGACACCACTGGCCACTAAACCATGTCCTGAAGTTCCACATTCACACATTTTTTGAACCCCCCCAGGGATGGGGACTCCACCGCCTCCCTGGGCAGCCTGGGCCAATGTCTCACTACTACCAAAAAAAGTTTCAAACCAAACGTATCTGTGCTGTGTCATATTTCTATCTCCTGGAAACAATCTCTGCTTCCATCTAAGCCACTGTGCTTGCCTGGCTTTTCAGAGGCACAGGCAGGACCATGCCTTACCAAGAAGGTGACTGGCACCTTTTCAATCCATATAAATGGCTGTTTGACCTTTCTGGAGTCATGTGGAAGGTGCCAGAATAAAATTTGTTATTGAAACACAGGGACAGAAAAAAAGGGAGATGGCTGTGACAGCAAGGATCAACAGGAAAAGTAAAAGACATTGTATAAGAATTAGTGAATATTTCTGGAAGTGAAGATAAAAATCTACCTATTACAGCAAAATAATAGTATCTAGAAAGTGGATTCACAGACAGAAGTTACATGAGTTAGCAGAGTGGCAAAAGCATCATAATAGCTGCTAGCTAGTAGGGATCAACACTGAGGTCAGAAGCTGGAAGGTGAAAAGGACCTCACTGAAGTGTTCAGCTGCATGGATAAGAAAAAGCCAATATGGAAACAGAAAATTAGAGATTTTCATCAACAGGAGCTTGATAGCTATGTTTACAGCCTGAAAAGCTTGTGAATAGTCTTTCAAAAAAGAACAGAACAGCATTTCTGGAATGGTGCTCACATCTCAAGAAAGACATGATGGAGTTACAAGGTGCACAGGAGGGCAGGTAAGAGAAACCATAGCAACAAAAGAAAGCTGGGAACGTGGAGAAAAGAAGGGTGAGTGATAGCTGGAACAAGAGAGATCTGCACCAAAGCATTTAATTTAACAGAGGGCACAGAGCTGTGGCTTGCAAATAAAATAATTTGAAGTAGGAGGCTGGGGGGAGGGATTCTCCTGTACTGTGCAACGCCCAGAGGCACACGCATGAGTAACAGACAATCAGGCTCCTTTTCTTCAAAGGCAAGGTTGAGCAACCTCTAGAGACTGCTCCAGTGCTCACTGCCATTTCAGCATGCACCAGGAATGGCACAATAAAGTTATTTAGCAATAATCAGTGCACAAGATATAAGAATACGAAATAGGTGAGAATGCCTCCTGTGTCAGATTTCATAATCCTCAGTCACATTCCTTCTCGGCTCTCCAAGGAACAAGACTGACAGAAGCTCTCAGAGTGCACAGAGTGTTCTCAGAGGCAATGGCAAACACCTAAAAAACCATGGGCTGGGAGACAGGACACATCCAATCCTGTATCTACAACAGGGATGGAAATAAACCTTCAGAGGAGCCCCCAAGATTCAAACAGACGAGGAAGAAGTGTTACAAGAGCAAGAAAAACGTGTCCCAACTTCAGAAGGCTGCTGAGATGAATTAAAATGGCAGCAGACATGCTTTCTACCAACCAGATGGAGCAAGGAGGAGACAGACAGGTCAGTGCATAGCACTGGATATAGCAAAGGGAATAAAAAAAGGCAGACCAACTCTCTGTCTCTGAGCACAAGGATAGTGTGTGAACGTGCATGTACTGAGCTGAGGGCAAACCCTGGAAACACCAACAAGTACAGAATGCTCTAGGACACCCCCAGTTCACCATAACTTACCTGGCTGATGATAATATTTTTGACAGTGTGACCTAATTTCCAGTGACCCAATTCATGACCAAGTACAGCCAGAACTTCTTCATTTTTACAACCTTGTTTCTTATTCTGATGAAATAACAAAGCAGAAGTAATATTAGGTATGACTGAACACAACTGAGTAAGTTTCTTACTTATTAGCTTGTTTTTCTTACGTCACTTTAGTATCTCTTGATCAGGCTGTTCCCTTCTGCCAGCACACACACACACACAATTTTCTATTGAGCTTTTGTCAAGAAGATATTTACAAAAAAA